GTTCAATATTTCTCTGACCTTTCATTCTACCGAATTATTGTAATTATCATCATTTAGAGTACTTATCTGGTATACTGAATGTGCTCAATATAATGTTGCTTGTTGATGAAAAGCAGCCTGTCTTGCTCTTTTTACTAGTCTGAAATCTCCAAGGGCTTGGTTGTTAATGAGCAGTACACAGCTGACCATAGGATGGTATTCTGAAGAACTATAAGCCCTTTAAAACATACATAAGAAAATGTATATGCATTAATTATTTTTATAGTTGCACTAACAAAAATGACTATGGACAGAAATTTAAAAAGCAAGGACTTATTTTTGCTCACAGTTTGAGGGCATGGTCTACTCTGGCTGGGAAAGCATGGAAGCAGGTATGTAAGGAGGTTGGCAACATTGTTTCCATAGTCAGGATGCAGAGAGAAGTGAATGTTGATGCCTAGTTCACTTTCACCTCTTTTCTCAGTCTGGAATCCCAGTCCAGGAATTGGTGAGGCCTGGATTCAGGAAGTATCTTCCTTCTCAATTAAACCTTTCTTGAAACACTCTCAAAGACTCTGTTAGAAGTTTTGGCAATTCTAAATCTAATAGTGCTGACAAAGTTGATAGGTCCATGTATTATTATGGTTATTATTTTCAAGGTGTATTCTAATTTCCTATATGACCTCTTTGATTATTTACTATTTTAAAATGTGTTTAATATCAGAACAACTAAGGAGTTACCTAGGAATCTGTCACTTTCAGTGCAGTTATTGAATCTTTATAAACATTGCAATTTTCATCATTGGAAGATTATTGAAATTTACATCATAAGTCATCATTAAATATTTAATATTTGTAATATTTATATAATGTAATTGCTAGGAGCAGAAGTATATTAAGTTCAACTTTTATAAATACAGATTTTGTTTGTTTTATATAATAAAAATCTCTTACTATGTGTAAAAATTTTCATGTGTAATTTTCAAGGTCTGTCATTTCTTGTTATTTATACATATTGATATGCAGATAGATGAATGGATGGATGGATAGATGATAGATAGATAGATAGATAGATAGATAGATAGATAGATAGATAGATAGATAGATAGATAGATGATAGATAGATGATAGTAATTTTTGATCCAAATATTGTGTTTATTGGGCTCTTTTCTTTTTTAACAAGGAATAGGTAAGTGGTTACTTTTAAAAATACACTAATGCATCTTTCAACTCTCTTCAACAAAACTCTCTCAAGCAATGAACACAAAGGACCACAAATGGCCAAAGCCTAGTGAATATGTCTATAGAGTGTTGGTTCTTGGAAAGGACTCCCATATTAAACTTTATCCACCCAGGGCTCAGGAACGCTTGTGGAAGAGGGGACAGAAAGAATGTAAAAGTCACTAGAAGAAGTTGGTGATCATGTGGATACAGAGTCTTAAAGGTTCCTGGGGCCTTGCACATATGAAATTAAAGCAACGACAGCATGTACTACACCCCATTGGATGAACTTTTACTGAAGGATGTCAGGGGATACTTACTTCAGTTGATAAGCCTTAATATAAATGACAAAATCTGTGAAATCTAGTGGAGGGGAGGCGGGTGCCTATCTGGAAGGGGGTATAAACCTGATTAATACATTGTATATGAGATACTCAAAAATTAAAATAATAATTTATTTTATTTTTCCTCCCTCATCATTTCCTTACTCTTCTTCCTCCTCCTCTTTCTGAATTCTGCATTCTTTACTCTTTTTCTTCTCATCAGTGACATTTTCCTCCTTTCATATCCATGGGCAAGGAATAAATTACTATGTAGTTATGCATATTTGTTTGTATTCTTGAATATTGTTTCCCACAGAGAAAAGTGACTTTACACTCCATGGAACTGGAATTATAAGTGGTTGTGAGTGACTTGATATAATCTCTGGGAATCTAACTTGGGTCTTATGAAAGAGCAGCGTGTCTTCTTAATTGTTGTGTCATCTGTCCAGTACACTCTATCTTGTTTATATAAATTTAATTTATTATCTTCTTTCCTTCATCTTTCCCTGTCTCTCCTTCCCTATATACATACTTATATGCATACTTCAATCTCTCCTCATGACTCTCCTCCTCCTCCTTCTCCTTTTCTTCTCCTTCCTCTCCTTCTTCTCCTTCTTTTGTTTTCTATCTTCAGTTTCCTTTCTTCCCACCCTGGGCCTGGACTTCCTCCTTTTACCTTTCTCATTCCCTCCCCTGTTCATCCTCTTTCTTTGGCTGCAGCTGTTGTTCTTCCTGCCTGAGTCTAAAGCATGCTAAGATTCAAGGCACTTTCCATTCAAGGAACTGTACAACATAATTTAGATTTTTTTTCTTTTATAACCCCCCTAGCATTGGAGATTGTACGTAGATAAAAGCGGGATCATATATACATAAATATATAGATAGATATAGATATATGTTTTTGAGGACCTCATGCTTGGGTATTTTATTCACATTGTTTCCACTCCTCCAGTCTCCAGCAGTTATGACTCCCCCTACTCCGTCTCAATTTCTTGTATCTTTTTGAGTCCATTTAGTGGTGCTCATGTGTACCTGTGTATAGTGCTGCCCATTTGGGATTAGAGACGCACTCATGGAGCTAGTCTATGGAGAAAATTGATTCTCCTTCCTTCAGCATTCATTGATTGCTTGTAGCTCTTCATCATGAGGTAAGATCCCATAAAATTTCCCCCATTTACCTTGACACATCAGCTTTTTTTGTCACTAAGTTCTTTTTAGACTACCATACTATGGAGAATTCATTCTTGCAGTTTCCCTATCATGTCTGGAATGCATTAACTAGGAGCAAGTGTCTTGTCCCCTCTGGTCCTTACAATCTTTCCACCTACTTTTCCATAATGTTCTCTGAGCCTCAGGTGTAGATATCATATTGTAGATGTGTCACTTAGAGCTCGTCACCTCACAGCTTCTTACTCTGCACTTGATAAGCTGTGCCATTTTTCAATATTCTCCATTTGTTGAGAAAGAAGCTGCTATGATAAATTATGAAGTACACTTGTCTATGAATGTATGGATACATATTTTTAATAAACACTTGTTAACTTAGAATCAGGATACATTTTATTGATAATAAATGGCCAAGGTATATCTGATTTGTATTGTTTAATTTAAACTCTCATTTATCTTTTAATGTAGCTCTAGCATTGTATTTTAACAGTTTTATGCTCATGTAACAGATTGTCTTTTATAATCTTGAAATATTTGAGTTCTGTTGCTTCTTCAATGTCAACTGTTGTCTCAACTGGAAATAATAATGCCTTTATTTCTTATATGTATCTACTATTTCAGACAAATCTATTTGTATTTAACTCTCTGCATCTTGTTTTTAGGTGTTTAAATTATTCCAATTAATTGAAAAGTTTGTTTTCTTTTGCTTTTTATTGAAATTCTATGAACTTCATAAATATATTTTGTAGATACTTACATGCCCTCACCCATCTGCACCTTTCCCTTAATATGCTACCCCTGATTTCAAATATGCTGTTTTATATATTAAGGCCTAGATAGTCAAATACATGGCTGCAAATACCATGTGATGTGGATCTATCCACTGGAGCCTAGTTAAGCTACCTAGCATCACACCCTTAAAGAAAACTGTTTCTCCCTTTCCCAGCAGCAATGGGCTACCAATAGTACTTCAGTTAGGACTGGGACCTTTTTAACTTCCTCACTTCTATCCAGGGATTTTGTCTGTTTTGAGCAGTGCATTTTGTTTCTTATTTATTTAAATACTTTTAATAATTCAAAATTGATCAACATACTTTTATCAATTTGAAGAGTTATCAGATAACTTACAGTAACATTTAACCTACACAGAGCCAACTTTAATAAATTTATTAACTCAATGAAGGCAAAAATCCCAGGAATTTTGGTGCTTTATTTTCCTTGTAGGAACTCATTCAATTTACTTGTTTCAGATTATCTAAGTATCTTGTTTGTTATAACAGGCATTAGTTTCTTAGGTCTCCACTTTATTTATATTTTTTATTTAATAATATTTTATTAGCATTGCTTTCTTTCAGAAGTAAAATGATGGGACTGGAGAGATGGCTCAGCAGTTAAGAATACTGATTATTCTTGCAGAAGACCCGGGTTTGAATCAGTGCCCAAGTGACAGCTAACAACTGTCTGTAACTCTAGTTCCAGGGGATCTGATGCTCTCTTCTCTTCTCTGTGGGCATTGCACAACATGAGTTTACTTACATACATGCAAGTAATGCATGTATACACATAAATATAGTAAATAAAATAAAGAAGCAACATGATTACATTGAAAGACTTTTATCTGGAAAATTTGGGAAAGGGACTGAGTGGTGAACTCTCATTATATGAACAATCACAAATTAAAAATTAGTCATTATATATATAATTTTTAATTTATATTCTAAGTTCTCTATATTTATACACACACACACACACACACACACATATTATATATGTCTTTTTGAGACAGGGTATCCCTGTAGCCCCAGCTGTCCTGTATTCACTATGGAGACCAGGCTGGCCTCGAGCTCACAGAGATCCGCCTGCCTCTGCCTCCTGAGTGCTGGGATTAAAGTTGTGCACCATCACGCCAGGCCCTAATTATATATTTTTTAACATTTTATTGAACTTTTGTACATTTCATACAGCAGTTCTTAATCAAATTTAGACTCCCTCTCCAGTCCATGTCCCCACACACACCTCCTCCCATCCAACCTCATGTATTCCACCATATGCACTAAGTCCTATCCACTGAAGCGTTTGTACAAAGATGTCCTTCAGTGCAAATTCATCCAATGGAGTCCAATAAGTCCATCTAAACCTGATGAGTAATATCCAGTCTCCCTCACCCAGCAGTAATCAGTCTCTAACAGTTCCAGACTAGAACATGCCTCCCACCCATTGCTTCATTGATGAGAGTTGAGGGATGCACTAGTTTTCTCTACTTACCCCTCCATTCCACTGTGTTCCATGAGAGTTAATTGTAGAGGCTCCACTGTAGATATGTCACCTAGGAATAGGCTTCTCTCAGGGGTATATTCTCAGGGTGTGACCAGTAGTGAACTCTGCCATAACCTCCATCTAAAGCAAAAAAAAAGAAAATCTTCTTTGATGAGTGGTTACAGTATGTTTATGTGTAAATATAAGGATGTATATTTAGCATATGGTAAGAAATTTCATTTGTCCAGAAATATAACAGAGATAGGGTTTTCTCTAGGATCTATAATCTCTCCAGTCATATGTATTTGGCTGTGTTTACAGCAACACTCATGAGTTCACTCCGATTGAGAGGGCTTTAAGTTCAATTAGATAGGTGTTGATTATCCCCCAGATAACATTGCCACCACTGCACAAATAGAGGTAGTTTGCTGTGAGAGTTGTTGTGGTTATTAGACATTTGGCTGGGTTGGGCCACTGATTGATTTTCTTCCTTAGCAATTTGCATAGTAACCTCTAGAACTATGAGAGGGGAGGACATGCCCTTGCTCAGAATAACATCTCAAAAGACCCTGAACTTTCATACTTTCTTGACAGTAGGTTCAGTGTAAGTAGGGCATTAACCTGAGGTTGAGAAAGAAATGTAAATTTCTGAATTATGCTTTGTGAATGAATAGTATCACGGTTCAATATATGAATAGGAATTCTATTTATTGTGTATCCCTACATTTGCTTTACTGGAAAAACTTCAGTCAAAACACTGGCAGACAAAAACAGCCTTCAACAATCAAAAGGCTTCCCAATCCTTGAACAGAAGGAAAGTCTGATTTAGACCTGCTCAGCCAGGACTCTGGTAAGTCTGATTTAGAATATTAACAAATTGAAATATTCATCTTAAAAAATTAGCATAAATGTTAAATTCCCACAGGGCAAGAAAAAAGTGAATATAAAGTCTATTTTCTACTTTTATCACATCAGTAAACCAACATAATTTCTTAATGTATTCTCAATATGTACCCTTACATTTTATGACAAGTATACCTCTCACTACTCATCAAAAAAGCTTTTTGTGGCAAATGTAGACTATTACAAAGTTTCACAACTGATCAAATGCGGAGAAATGGTGTCTATGAGGTAAAACCCTAAGTGATACATCTACCATGTGACCTCTACACATAAGGCTCAAGAAACAGAAAAATAGGGATTGTAAAGAATGTTAAGGTAGCTCTCAACTCTCACCAGTGAAGCCTCCTCCTGCCTCATGATTAAGCCAGAAGGCCACAAGTGGCAAAATGTAGGGAATAAGAGATTTCAGAGTATTTATTCCTGAACAAAACACCTATATCATGCCTCTCCCACCCAAAGCTTAGGGATCATTGTGGAAGAGGTGATCGAAAGATTGTAAGATCCATGGGTGTTTAATGACTGCAAAAGGTCAGAGTTTTCCAGACAACTGGGAAACTACCCACATAAACTTGCAGCAAGAGTGGAAGCCTGTATAAGACCCATTCAAACTCAGGCCAGACAAAATCAGAGCAAGAAGTGGGAAAGGGGTGACAAAGCCCTAACTTTAGCTGAGGAATCATTGGAAACCAATAACTGGTGAAAGAGAGAGAACTGGTTTTCTTAAAGGGTGTGACACTTGGTAGGTTAACTCAACTCTAGTGAATTGTTACACACTGAAGGTTATTTGGAGACATAATAGGCATTATGACTTGATAGGCATTAATATGTATGTGACAGAGCATGTGAAATCTTGTTGTGGGAATAAGACAGGAGAAAAAAGTAGGGGGTCAAAATATGGTCCAGGTATATTGAAATTCACAAAATGTCAATAAAATAAAAGAGTAGGGGAAAATAAGATGTCACTCAATGAATATTACTGAGGAGAACCCATGTACAATAACAGCAGGTGCTCTCTCCTTGTCAAAATCATGTCCTTAATAAAAATGTCAGGAATCTTATTTTCATATTTTTCTGAATTTTCATGTTTTGTTTAGTATCTATAGAACCTTGCATACCTTGTTCTTTGAGTCAAACCTTACCACATGTATTATGACAAAACTGTAGCATTTCAAAACACATAATTCCTCCTATTCAAAGATCCATATTTTATTGATGGAGTTCAAAAAGATAAAGTCTTAGAGGACGAGAGCAATTTGACATTAAATATTAAAGGTGCAAATTGTGTTCTTTAGGGAATACATTCAAGCAATGGTTTTGAAGTCTGTTTTGAAGCTCACCAGAGCACATCCAATGTATTTGACTCGTGTTGGTACATAGCAAATGACTCTTACAAGTGTATGAAGAGGCATGAAACAGTACTTAACAGTCACTTTTTTGTATGTCAGATATTATTTTCAAGCTTGTGTGTTGCTAATTTAAAAGAAAAAGCTAAAAATGTAGTGAAATCAGTCTTACTGGAAATAGTATAAAAAATAAAATTCTTGGGCTGAAGAGATGGCTCAGTGGTTAAGAGCACTGATTGCTCCACTAGAGGACCTGGCCTCGATTCCCACCTCCTACATGGCAGCTAATAACAGACCTTAACTACAGTTCCAACTGTAATCAAACTCCCTCTTTTGTCCTCTGCAGGTTTGCACACATAGGTGCAATTGCATACATGCAGGCAAAACACCTATGCAAATAAATTTAAATAATATGTTAACAGAAAAAAGTCAGATACTTGAGTTATTAAGTTATGACTTTGATTTTACTTCATTATTTAGTTATTTGGGCCCTTTGAGGACTAAACTTTTGATTTTGTGCTTACTGCATATGCACTCTATCACTGTGCTACAGCAATCATCTATCTTAAATATTTTCAGTAATTGAAAAACTAAATGAAATTAGAAAAAATAATTTAGAAATAAAATGAGATTATACATATATCTTACCAACTGAATCAAAAGCATGCTATGGAGCTAACATGCAAAATAGTAAAAAATATTCATTAAGAGGATCCAGCATATGGAATAAGAAAAAGGAAGGGAATAATAGAAGTGATAAAGAAAGAATTAATATAAATCTACAACAAAAGAGACATAAAATGGCTGGCAATGTTGCTCAGTGGATAAAGACACTTGCTGCCATCCAAGGAAGGAGGGAACCAATTCCTGAAGATTTTTCTTTCCATTTCTTTTTTTACTTCCACATACATGTATTAGCACATGTACACTCTACCCCACTACATTCATACAAACTTCTATTTCAAACCCCAATTTTATTTATTTATCTAAAGTAATCATATAAGTTTATTTATGTTCATGGGACTTCATAGTGTCAAATGCAAGACATAAACTGTAAGGTTTGCTGGTTGGTTGATAATAAGGTAAATGTACTTTCTTTGATACAGTTTCAATATTATAAGCATGGTGGGGAGTTTCACACTGACACCCACTCTTATGAGAAAATAGCAATCTTTTTCTGCTTTACCACTTAGGTCAGATTTCCAAATTTTTCAGTTTGTAGTGTTACATAGAAAGACTCTTCCTGTTCTGGAAACACCAGAATGGCACTAACAGTGTAAATATCGTTAAAACATTCTCCACCAGCTATAAACTAATGGGGTGGAGGACTTGAGAGAGTGACACTATAAATTTGAGGCTAATGATTCATTGGCTGGAGAATCTGGACATTTATCGTGGGAGCAAACAAACTGCAGCTGGTTTCACAGGTGCAGTGCAGGTGGGCTTTGGCAAATAATTTTGAACTGTATGAATTGCAGCACTTGCTGTCTTGGCTGAAGCTGATATTTCAGGTTCAAATAGAGTAGTAAATTATGAGACTGAATCATTAAATTCTAATTAAAATTCACTTCAAAAGAGATTGCTGTTCAATCTAGACATCTTTTTTCAAATAGAGCAAGTGCCCACATTCTTTAGTGTATACTAATACACTCATTTATATTTACTGCAGCTATTGATAATAAGATTTATAGGAGTTGTCAGGACAAAATAAAATTAATCTTGTACCATTTTCATTCTTAAAAATGTGAATTATAATTTCAAACTCTGAAAACAAAAGAATTGTGAATAATTTATGTAGCTATTTTAGCTCTATACTTTGCAAGTATTTAAATGTTAATTGCACTATCTACATTTCAGAGAACACTGTAGTCTGGAAAGGAGGAAAAAGGTAATTTTAAACTTAAGAAACATGACAAATACTATCTCAGATTGGTGATCAAGGATAACCCCTGTCTCTGTGTCCTTTCTTCCCAAAAACCATATCCCAAGTTTACTCAAGGTATGAACCTCAAGTAAAATCCAAGTCTAGTTCATGCTACAAGATACCAGACTGTGACTACAATAAATGGTCGAGTGGGGGATGGAGAGACAGCCCAGTGGTTAAGAGCACTTTTGACTCTTCCAGAAGACCTGAATTCATCTCCCAGCATCCAACTCAAACAGCTTACAATAATCTGCAACTTCAGCTCCAGGAAATCTGAGACTGCTGTCTGTCCTCCACAGGCATCAATGCACATGTAGAACAAGTAAAAATATAACAAAACTATATCTTTAAAAAATATACTGTCCACTGATGAAATTCTAGGAAAGCATGAATTGTGGTGTCCAGCTGCAGGAGGCTATGGAGACATCACAACAACTGAGTATAATATGATAACCTGCATAGAACTTGGGAAAAGAAAACCACATAAAACACAGTGGATCTGAATAGGGTGTGGAAATTTTCTATAATGAAGCAGATTGGTTTTGTCTTTATAAAAAACCTATAATTAAAACAAACTGTTAATAACAAAGGAAGTTTTATGTGATACACAGGGACTCTGCTCTGTTTTCAAAGATTTTCTGCAAGTCTAAGCTATTCTAAAGTGCAACTTCAGTTTTAAAAATACATTATAAAAATATGAAAAGAATATACAGTTTCTGTGAAAGTGGAATGCAGCCTGAGATTCTGCATGTAATAGAACTTCCACATGTATTTGATAGAGGCACTATTCATCCAGCTCAAGTAGTCTAAAGTATGTAGATCAGCTGGAATTTGTCAGACATGCAAATTCTTCCTCATCTCTACTAGAAGCCCTGGGCTGGAATCCAGCAATATCTTGTCCAGACACCACTCCAGAGATGCTGACACAAACATAAAAGAAATACAGACTTAAAATCAGAAACTATAAATCC